ATATATATATATATATATATATATATATATATATATATTATAGAATCATAGAATCACTCAGGTTGGAAAAGACCTTAAAGATCATTGAATCCAGCCATGACCTAACCATACTATCCTAATTCTAACAACCCTCAGCTAAATCATGTCCCTGAGCACTACATCCAAATGGTTTTCAAACACATTCAGGGAATGTTTACTTACTTTCAAGTAGTCTAAAAATTTTATTGCCTGTAAAGAAGATGACTTTCTATTTGTATCTCAGAATTTAGAAGTAAACCAAAAAGCATATGGAACTGGCAATAGACATGAAGAAAAAAATATAAAAATAAAATCCATTAAGTAAAAGAGCCATATCTTCTGAATCATTATGGCTTCCAAAGCAGTATTACATTACATATTTGTTGAAGAAATAGAGAATCTTTGAATTCTTTGAGCTTCTGAGTACCTGATGAATATACAGGGGTTATACTGCATATAAAAATAATTAAATATAATACAAATTTATTTCCAAGCTTACTATATAATGATAAACACCAGAATCAATCATTTTATTTCATGTTAACACTTACGATTTTAGCATATGTAGTTTTAAACACATGCCAAAAAAAAAAAAAAAAAGATTTAACGTGGTCATAAAGCTTGACACACCTCAGTTAACAGATGGTAGCAGTCTCATTTCCACGTCACTGTGAACAAGAATCATTTGCAACCCAAAATCTCCCTTTTTGAGATAGTAGCTATACTCTGAAAAAAAGAAAAAATAAATAGCAAATAATTAAATATTTCTTTAAAAATTATAATAATAAAAAACCCTACATTGAAAAAATATCCGTTATATTTCATACATCAGTTAGCAGAAGCAGTGTTCACTTTCATGTATAAAATCTCCTATATACTATAGCTTGCTTTTATGTATTTAAGTAACAAACCACCATTACTTCTGGTTTTACAAAGAAAATAATAGATTACACCAAGAGTGGCACTGTCATTTTTCTTCTTTTAACTCAGACAATTTATAACATCATGTCCATTGCAGAGAAAAATATCTCCAATTGTTAAATAGCTCATATCTTGATTTCTTCTTTCCCTCAGATTTCTGAACAAAATGTATGCTCATCTTACATTTTGCTGTTTTCACTTAATGTTTCTTACAAAATAACATATTCAAAAAGTCTATTAATCTTAATGCTTCAAAAGATCTTCTGAGCTAAGGTCAAAAAAATGCCTCCAGAAGAGGTCTGATATTAACTTCAGTTGGGTCATTTATTTACTGCTCTTTCTCTGAAACACTTGATGCAACACATACGGGAAGCATGATAACCATTCTAAGGATGTTGAGTGATATTATTTTTAAATTATAGAGTAGGCTTCTGAATACAGAGATTTTATTAGTTTGTTTTACATGCTGAGGGCAAAGACTGTTTATACTGTATTCTTTTAATAAGACAAGTGATAATTTTATTATCTTGTTTTCTTTGTGTTCTGAGTTTCTATAAGCTAATATTTTCTTTAATGAAAACAATCACATCAAACCAGATAAAGTTCTGATTGTCTGAGGAAAAAAGTTTTTTCATGCTAAAGATGAGTAATATATGTATCCTATAGAGTAAGCGTAATATGGTTAGGTTGCTATGATCTTTAAGGTCTTTTCCAACCTGAGTATTTCTGTTTTCATAGAGAAGGTGCTCCAGACCTCTGATCATATTAGTGGCCCTCCTCTGGACTCACTCCTATAGCTCCATATTTTTCCTGTATTGAGGGCCCCAGACCTGGACACAGTACTCCAGATGAGGCCTCACAAGAGGGCCCCCAGAGTAGAGAGAGACAATCATCTCCCTGTCCTTGATGACCGCCCCTCTTCCGATGGAGCCCAGGATACTCTTGGCTTTCCCAGATGCAAGAGCAAACACTGCTGGCTCAAGCTTTTCATCCACCAGGACCCCCAGGTCCTTCTCTGCAGCACTACTCTCAAGGAGCTCTCCCAGTCTGTATATGTATCTGAGATTACTCTGACCCAAGTGCAAAACCTTGCATTTTGCTATGTTGAACCTCATTAGATTCACACAGACCCACCTTTCAAGTTAGCTGAAGTCCCTCTGGATTGCATCCATTCCTTGTAACATGCCAATCATGCCATTCAGTTTGGTGTCAATCAGCAAACTTGTTGAGGGTGCACTCACAGCCATCATTGATGTCACTGATGAAGATGTTGAAGAGACATCATGTGAGAAGGAGAGTTCATATTGAGGTACCAATACTTTGATATAACCTAATTAGAGAAAAAAAAAAAAGTTATTTTTGTCTCAGAAAGGTATTGCTATATTATAGGTACTGAATTATTTAACAGAGCTTGATAGGAAATTTTTCTTGGACAACTGAAACTATCCATTGAAAAATAATTGAAAAATAGATTTAATAGCCATATGCAGATGGCAAGTGCAAAATCTCTTTAACTGAAAAAAAAAAAAAAAAAAAAAAAA